TTAAAAATTTTTTTATTAACCGAAAGATAAACCATACCAACTTATTTTTTATGCCAGTACTTCCATAGCCACCACCTCCACCAACAAGCAATTCTTGCGCAGGAGTAAAACCTAAATATATTAATTAGTTTAGGTAAAGTAAAACCTTTTTTTAATTGGAATAAGCTATAAATGACACACCAGCACAATATACGGGGAAATCGACCTTGACGGAAAAGTGATCAAGTTTTGGCATTTTTAATATTGATGTTATAGTTCTTTTTTTTGATTTTTTCCAAGCCAATCAACAAAAATTTGATTTGTGTCAGTCGATCAGTGGTTACACCTCTTGTAAAATACAAAGATATCAATCAAATAATCATGGCATCCTCCTCTTCCGCTCCTGTTGAACCTGATAGACGTGCCAAAGCTTTACAAGATTATCGCAAGAAATTACTCGAACATCGTGAAGTCGAAGCAAATGTTAAAGAACGTGAGTTTACTCCTTTGAATTTTTAGTTTGTTAATAAATAAATCAAAAATTTTCCCTTTTTTCAAAGAGAATGAATCATACAAATAAATGTTTACATTAAAATGATAAGTTTGAAACAATCATTTATAAGAATGAATGCAAAAGGAAAATATATTCCTGCCTTTAGATTTGTAACTTCACAATGGAAACAATTCAATGCTAAAATAAATATAAATATATGCATGTATGTAAATAATATTATCGTTCTATTGTAGTTCGCCTTGGTCTTCGTGATCTTGAAAAACAATATAATAAAACAGAAGATGATATCAAAGCATTGCAAAGTGTCGGACAAATAATTGGTGAAGTTTTAAAACAGTTGGATGAAGAACGATGTAAGCTATTAAAAAATTTTTGTATTGTATTAAATTATTAATATTTTACTTATTTTGTTTAAAAAAATTGATCTTTAAAGTTATTGTAAAGGCTTCATCTGGTCCAAGGTATGTTGTTGGATGCAGAAATAAAGTTGATAAAGAGAAACTTAAACAAGGAACAAGGGTGGCTTTGGATATGACAACATTAACCATTATGCGTATGTTACCGAGAGAAGTTGATCCATTGGTTTATAATATGAGCTTAGAAGATCCTGGTAAAGTAAATTTTGCAGGTATTGGTGGCCTTGGCGAACAAATCCGAGAACTTCGAGAAGTGAGTTTTTTTAATAAATCAATCAATTTAAATAATCAAATTGATATGAAATCAAACTTTGTCTACCATGTTTTATTCACCAGGTAATAGAACTACCACTTATGAACCCGGAGCTTTTTATTCGCGTGGGAATCAAGCCGCCAAAGGGAGTTTTACTGTATGGGCCACCTGGTACTGGCAAAACACTTTTAGCTCGTGCGG